GGTCAACACGAAAGTAGAAACCCTGAATATGACAGCTCGAAAAACCATACCCTGTTCAGCAGATCATCCCCGTATAGTCCATATATGGGAGTACCCCCCCCCCTCCCCAGGAGTTTTTGTTAGGGTGCACTTAACTAGGAGCCCAGCTCTGTTGTGTTAACCCCTAAAAACGTAGGTGTCACTTCTTAGATTTCAGCTACATAAATAATAGAGCAGTTTTCATATTTGATATATGATGCTGAGTCCAGAAATTGAACCTGAGACCCCAGAGATGAGAATTTAGTGATTAACTGCTATCCTTGATTCCCAGAACAAACGATAACTACCACATCATAACTCTCATTACTCTGCAAATGTAAGTGGTCAACACCAGTAACAAACATTATCTTTGATTTACATGCTTTCAGGAATCAAAGCTTGGTGTATGTGGATCTCAAGTGGTGGGTCTTGTGCCTCTTGATGCTATACTTAGAGCTGCTGATTACTACATCAAGAAAGAGGATTTGTTTATTGTGGAACAGGATCAAAAAATTAGACTGGTAGGTATTCGTAAGGCCATAAAAATGCCCTTAAATTAATTGAAAAAACCCTGAAAATGTAAAGTATAGAATGATAGGAAGAAAGAAGGAAAGGATTTGAAAAATAAAAGATAAGGAGGAAAGAAAAGAAAAGGGAAGAAAAGAGGAGAGGGAAGAAAGAAAAAGAAAGGGAAGAGAAGGAAAAGGAAAGGAGGGGAAGGGAAGGAAAGGAAGTGAAAGGGAGAACTGTAAATGTGTAAAACACACCTCATTCCATATTACTAGGCTGTTTCTCTGAGGTTATTGAATTTTACCATTAGTTGTAACTAGTTTTACTCAAATGATTTCATTTTGTAATGTTCTTCTGTCAATCAGGTAGTGGAGAGGCTTGGCTTGAGCTCCATTACACCATTTGACCCTAGAACACGTATCATTGAGTAAGTGAACTTTGTACTTTACTATCATAAAAACTTGTCATCTTGTCATCTCTAATCACCACTGCAAAGTACAGCAGTGTCGTACCTGTAACTCAACGGGGTCAAACTGAAAGCATATGAACCAGTTGCCTCTGGCAGCTGCAACTCTACACAGTCCATGTATGATCCCAAAGAATAGCTCTAACCAATTTGGATTAGTTAGTGTTGATTTGAGAGGAGGGGAAAAAAACAGGAGGGCAGAATAAACCATTGAAGTCAGAAAGAGAACCAACCAATTAACTCAGCTCACATAGGCCAACTGGGATTCCAATCTCTGACCTCAGTGAGGCAAGAGGTGAGCTCTTTACCATAACGGCATCCTGAATCATTATAAAGATAATGTAGAATACTTTTTGTTATATTCCAAGTGTTCATCTCTTCTCATTGGCCAAGTGGTGTCAAGTGGTGTCTTGTGACAGTGATCAAATTTCTGTTTTGGCAACAGTTCTGGGCACACAATTTTTTGATCATTTACCTGGAAATAGTAAAACTGGAACTAGTGATTTCACCAGAAATGTAACGATAAATAATGTTTAAGAATAGGTGCAGTATCTTTCAGTGTGTCTTTGCATGATCAGATGAAATGAATGAAAGATGATTTGCAGTCTGAGAAAAATTAAATTAGACACTTGGATATATCGAAACACTTTTTAGCAGGACCTTGGGAAAGCAGTGTTCTTGTGGTTCCTAAAACGGTTAATGGTTCCTTTGCCACCCACCTCCATAATTCTAGTGGTAGTACATTGACTGTAGCATCAGCCTCAGGGGCAAAACACTTGAACTTGGAACACACATTGCTTTCATAGACCAATTTGGTTAAGATCATGCAATGCAAAACACAAGTTTCATTAGTTCAGGATCTTAAGCCTACTTTACTGTACTTGTACATTAAAAATAATAAATAAATAACTTTATTGACAATAATAATTAACTAATAATTCATTATAATATGAGACGTGATAAGAATATTGCTATAATTATAAAACAAAAAAG